TTTCAGACAAATGGTTATCCAATCTCTTCTTTAAAACTTCCAGTGTTGGAGCATTTACACTTCTGGAGGCAAGTTGTTCCACTGGATTAATTGGTTTGTTAGGAAATTTCTCCTTAGTTCTAAGTAGCTTCTTTTCTTGACCCAAAGGTGATTTTTCAGGAGGCAACTGGACTTTCTTGTTTGAATATGTTTCGCTTCTCATCCAAGAAACTTCTTGGATGAGAAGTGAAATGCCTTCAAAAGGAAAAACAAGAAAATCCAGTTGCCTCCTGAAAATTGGAACAATGACCTGGATGACTGAGAATCTCTACAGACTTCTCTCCTTGATTAGTTTCCACCCATTGCTTTTTGTCCTGCCCTCACTCAGGTGCCTTGGAGAATAGTTTGACCCCCTCTTCTTTGTGGCAACCCCTGAGATATTGGAACACTGCTATCATGTCTCCCCTAGTCCTTCTTTTCATTAAAGATTAGGACTGTGTTCACAGAACTATGTTGCTTTCTCAAAAGAGGCAAACTGAAAAAACAACTCTTCAAACTGAACAAAATCACAGACTGCGTTCATATAACGCACTAAACCAGGGATGTCAAACTTTCAGCCCGGGGGCTGGATGCATCACACAATGGCCACGCCCACACCTGGTTTAGCAAAGGGGAGAAAAGTTGCAATACATCACGTGCCGATGACGCTGTGACGATGCAAGCTTGCCCAACCAAGGTTATGTTCAATAAAGCATGGTTTGCTGAGTTCGTGCAACACATTAAGCCATACGCACAACCATTTGGTCTTGGCGTGTTGTCCAAACCCACCCTCAGACTGAAGGGTAACCTCTGAAATAAAATTCACTGAATTCAGTAGAACTTACTGCTGTGCACATATTTATAGCCTTGCATTATTAAGGATTAAAAGACACCCAATGTTAAGACGACAGTTCACCTCTGGAGAATAGGCCCACGCAAATTAAATTGTTTAGCTGGCTGTTAACTTCAGCATAGCAGAATTAAGAGCAGCCAGATCGAGGCTGTAACAATCCAGAGAGCCATTGGAGGGCAGCAAAGAGCTTCATTTCAAGAACTTCTTGGCTATCATTTAATCACCATCAGGATTTTTACCCAATCCGGAGCCCTAGAGTCTCTCTTTAAATTTTCATTGGGGTTAGTTAGATTTTTCTTTAAGATTTCCTCAGAGGGGAGCTTTTAACTATTTCAATTCTGTCCCTGCAGTGTAGTATCCCAGGGTGCCCATCCTGTTAAAGATTAGAAGGTTACTTATAAAGTAGGGAAAAAAGCTGGATTTTCTTGAAATTTGAGACAAGCAAAGATGGGAAGTTTTCCACTTGGCTGCAACCTAATCCAGTGCCCACTGATTTAGGGAAATGTCCCTCAAATGCATGCTCAGGGTTTCGGATTAGCACGACACAGTAACTCCGACAGAGTCACACAACAGAGAAATGGGCAGCATATAAATTAAATAAATAAATAACCAATCAACCAATCCAAGTGTCTATGGAGATGCTCAGTCACCCAGACCACGGTGGTCCCAAAGGTGCTTTGTTCAAGAGACACCTGGACTCTCTGGTTAAGCGAAACCTGTCTGGAATCCGCACTGTTTATTGGACATTGATACAATTGAGGGAGTCCAGGGGTATTTCAAGATAAGAGTCCTCCGCTCCTCTGCTTGCAATAGAATCCCTTATGCCACCAGGTTTGAAATTTTGGGCTTGGACAACCTAGAATAGCCTACCGGTCAATGCCTGGAATGCACTACCTGATGTTACATCCTCAAACCCCCACAGGTTCAACCTTAAACTGTCTACTATTGACCGCACCCCATTCCTAGGAGAGGGCATGCATAAGCGCACCATCGTGACTACTGAACTACTACTGTCCCTGTCCTACTGTCCCCATTTATTCGTCCCCATTTCATTCACGCTCATGTTCATTCTTATACCTATTGTTTTGTAAACGATTGACCAATCAAATAAATAAATGCCTATGAAGATTATCAGCACCTTTGGGACAAACCACGATCTGGATGACTTGAGACTCTCTACACAGTAGGTAGAATATTTAGGACAAAATGTCTCCATGGACATTTCAGCCCTGCGCTCGTTCGAATAGTACCAGAGTATGAAAACGGATTCCCAGAAGAAGAAAAATTGCAGGCTACCGGAACCCTTTTGCGCTTCAGTTTGAGAGGCAGACAGCAGAGACTTCTATCCTTAACAGCCTGCGCCTGTGCTCAAACAGTGAAGGGACACAGGGCAGGAAAAAGATCCTGCGGAAAGAAGCAGAAAAGTCCGGTGGCCTCTTGGGGGGGGGNTTTTCCCACGGCACACCTTACACTATGTCACGGCACACTAGTGTGCCGCGGCACAGTGGTTGAAAAACACTGTCCTAGGGAATATGTGGGCTCTGAGCCCCTGTTGCTTTCATGTATGGGATCTCTGTGTGATCCAAGAGGTTCTCTGCCATTGACTCGAAGAATTATATAGGTGCTCTGTGCTGGTTTCTGGATGGATCCAGGCTGGCTCTGCTTGTCTGATCAGGGCCTTCATGGCCATCGCCTAGCAAGTAGCAGCCCACAGCTGGAGCCAGAGGGGCCATTTTTGTCCCAGCCAACATTTTTTGCCTTCTTTTCTCAGATCTGCAGCTGGATCAAGAATGTGGGCGAAAAGCGCCTCTCGGAGCTGAAGAGCCTGGATAATTCTCTGGATGGGCTGCTTCATGCCAAGAGGCAATTCCAGGACTTGGCACTGATGGCAGATGTGAGTTCTACAGTCCATGCATTCTCCCACCCTCTTATATGGTGCTCCCTAGGTTAAATGTAACAATAAGGAATATAATACAACAGGACATTAAAATGGTGTAAAAGTGTTGAATAAAAATAATGTTCATAAAAAAGGAAGGAGGGAGGGAGGGAGGGAAAGTTCCTGTTGGGAAAGCTGGGTGAAGAGGTGAGGTTCAGCAGATGCCTTCAAGAAAGGGCTTCTTATAGGTGCCTCCCAACTTTCTGGGGAGAGAGTTGCAGAGCCCCCCGCCAGCAGAGTCCTCCTGTGACTCCCTGGGGTCTGTCACAGGGCCTCATGGTTGAGCTCAGGAACAGGGAAACTGGTCATAGGTTCTTTAGAGTCTTTGACTTCATAGCCAAAACCTTGAGCCTTGCTGGACAGCTGACTGGTGGCCTCAGCAGAGGTAAACCCACTGTCCTGTCCCCTGCCTGCCACTTTCTGCAATTTGGACCAAGCGCCTTGCAGTCATTGAAACATAAGATTTATCCCATGTGAGCGTTGCAGCTAAGCTGTTCCTGTCCAATCGTCGTTGGCATGTCACCTGAAGCTGTCAGTGGATACTTCTGTCCACACAGGTGACTTGGGGCTCTGAATGGCAATGGCAGCTTCGGAGTCTTTCTTTCCAGGTCCTGAAAAAGGAACCCGTCTGTTAACTGGCCCTCGTCCATTCCAACTAATGTAGGTGTTGCAGAGACAGAGAGCTGAGTGTCATGGCATGCTAGTGATGTCCAGAACGTTGCAAGACTGAGCCCAGGGGTTTCTTGTTGCTGCTAATTGACCTTAGAGACAGAAATGGGCGTTATCCTGTCTACAGCACAGCTGTAGGGTGTAGACAATGGATGTACCTTTTATTTATTTGATTTATTATTTTGATAAACAACTCAAGCAGCAAACATATTCAACACACTTCTTCCTTCTATTTTCTTCACAACAACAACCCTTGGGGGGGGGGAAGGGAGTGAGAGGGAGAGAAGGCAGGACAGCCTCAAGACTTGAATTCACCATTTCCTGCTTTCTAACCCTTTCTAACTTCGGCACTAAATCAGACTGGCTCTCTTTTCCATAACCCTCTCTAGATTTAGCCAATCTTTCTAGAAACCACACCTTGGCCCCTGGAGGCCTCCTCGGGACTGGCATCTGGAGCAGGGCAGGCTGAGGGTCATTTCACAGTCTGTGTGGAATGCCGTGCTTGGCTAAGGAGTCTGCTCTGCTTTGCTTTCAGGAGTGTTGCCAGAGGGGATGGGAAGCGCTGAGGAGGTGGGACGGGGAGGAAGATCCACTGGCCAGGGCACCTCAGGTAGGCTGCAGAGCCCAGCTGCAGGAGTACAAGAACCAGCTGCTGGGATTCTGCAAAGAGTTGGAGGCCAGCAGGAGCCGGATAGAGCAGGCGGTTGAGCTCTACAGATTCTTGGAAGAGGTGGGTTCTTCTGAAGAGATGCAACCAGTACTTTCCTCTGCCGGCTCTTTCCTACCCTCTCCGGCAGTTAGCCGCCCCTCTTGGCTGGTGAGACCCTCCTGACCTGGAATCCAGGCCCACCAGGCCCGGCTGCAGAGGCTGCCTATTGAGCTGGGAAACCCCAAAAGTCCCCTTGCACTGAGGGCCCCTTCCTTGGCCGCAAGATCGGGGTTGAGAGTCCCTTCTTTGCTTTTGACCGTTGACTTGGAATTGCCCGGAGGGGTCCCGCCTGGGTCTCCAGCAAGCCTTCCTCCATGATCCCAGAAGCCTCCCCGGAGAACCGGGCCTAGCTTGACAGGCACTTTTTCATTCCCTTTGAGCTTTTGTTTCTGTTCCTCCCCTGCAGGCAGACAGGTGGGCAGAGGAGGGGATGCAGCTCCTGGCCAGCCTCAGTGGGGACAACGGTTCTGCGACTGTTGGGCCTCTGCAGAGCCACTGGGAGCAGCACCTGGGCATGAGTGATTCCCAGTTTCAGAAGATGAAGAAGCTGGCCTGTCTGCTGCCGAGCACGGGTCCTCTGAAGAAGTGGCAGCTGGTCTGGTCCAAGTGTCAAAGGACCAAGCTGGCTTTGGAGATGAGGCTAGAAGCTGCGCTGAGGACCCAGCAGTCGCCGGCTCCCCCCAACCTGAAGCCCTCAGAAGAGGGAGAATCCTGCTTGGCCAGTCCAGACAACGGGACCCCTCTGGCTAAAGTTCCCAACCTGGCACCTCTACCTGAAAAGCCAAGTGAATGTTCCAGACGGCCCGGGGGCAACACAGGGGACCCTTGCAATGGAGCTGGAGGGAGCCTGTGCCAGGCTGCTTGTAGCCATTCTTGTCAGCTGGCTGTTACTCCGAAGCCATCATGCTGGCTCTGTAATGGGAGAGCCCCTCTGGAAGCCCCTTCCTCTACACAGCTCTTCTCCAGAAGGATGAGGAAAGCCTGGAGTGCTGACCTTCCCAGCTCAGAGGGACCTGACCCCAGCCACTCTGGCACCCGCGGAGTCTGGATGAAAGGCTTGGAAGTCAGCAGCATGGAGCTGGTGGGAGGGGCCTGCGAAGGCCAGCAGCCCCTCCGCTCAGCTGCCTCATCTACCTGCCGCCCGCAAGAGGATCAGAGAGGGAGGGGCCTCTTACCAGAAGCAAGGAGCTGGAGCAGGTGCGTGTGGACTGTGCTTCCCCAGTCATGGGAGTTGGTCTGTGGCTCTGGATGGACATGGACACAGCAGGAAGCTGGTCTCAGAGTCATCCTGACTGCAGAACATGTTGGCCCTGGTTTCTCAGCACAGCCACTGACTGAAGGGGGAGGGAGACTGTGGAAGAGTCTGTGAGGGACAATAGGGAAGAGTTTAGGGGAAAGAACAAGGGCCCAGCCTAGATGGCAGCTTTGTACCTTGTTCAGGAGTTTGGTTCTTGATTTGTATTGTATCTATTGATGTCGGCCTCTTTGCCTCTTGCCAAAGTCTCATGCAGTTTATGGTAGCTAAGTAGCTGAGCTGGTTCTTCCAGGAACAACTCTTGGCCTCTTCCGTGCATTACGTTGTTTCACATCTTGCCGCACCCTGAGTACTTCCTGAGAAATGCAGAAGACCCCCAAGAACAGAGCTGCCTCTGGAAAGGAATACGGTGGATGCCAGTCCAGGAATATGGCTTTCCCCTCCCGCCACGAAGGCTGGCTGGCTCCAGTGTTCGACTTTGGCTGCCAGCTTGTGACTCCCTGATGGCCCTGCAGCTTTAAGGCTCTTTTTTCTTGAGCCTCGGAGGGGCAGACGGCCAGGCAAAGGTGGGACGCAGCGCTTGGAAAGGCCTCGTGCCAAAATATACCCCTCTCCTTTTCCTATATGGCAGCAAACCGCAGCGCATCATGGAGGAGATGGTGACGACGGAGCAGGAGTATGTGCGATCTTTGTGCTACATCCTTGACAACTATTTCCCTGAAATGGAGCGGCTGGACCTGCCACAGGACCTGAGGGGAAAGCGAGGCATCATTTTTGGGAATTTGGAGAAGATATACAACTTCCACAGCCAGTATTTCCTGAGGGAACTGGAGCTCTGTTGCAGCCACCCTCTGCGCGTCAGCCATTGTTTCCTGAGACATGTAAGAAGGGACTGGGGGGGGGAATTTCCTGGGTGGAGCAGGTCTTGGCCCATCACGGGGCAGAGGAGAAGGTGAGCCGGCGGCTATTCCAGATGCTCAAATCTAGAGCAAATTTGCGGCCCAGGACCGTTCCTGAAACATGCAATAAAATGGATTTTGAGCATAAAAGATTGACCCCTCATAATGTTATTCTTGCCACAGAATGATGCAGGGGAAATCTGGTTGCCATTACTTGAATGTTAATGGGTAGTCCTAAGGATTGAAGTTCAACCCTCCCCATGGGAATCTCTCTGTCAGGCCTGTCCCGATAGTTGCAGGGGTCTTGGAAGGGTTTTTGTGGGGTTGGAGGCCGGTTGGAGCAAGGCAGGAATCCTGGTAGAACTAAACATGTGTCTTTTTGTCTATCCTCTACCCACCTCCGTCCTTTTGCTGGGAGCACAGAGTGGTTGCCTCCCCCCTCCCCCCAACTGCCTGAAAAGGTACCTGGAGGTGGAGAGGAAACCCTCCCTTAGTCTGTGCTTCTCTCCTTTCTTTTAGAAAGATCAGTTTGGGATGTATGCCTTGTACAGTAAAAACAAGCCCAAGTCTGACTCATTGCTGGCCAGTCAGGGGAACGCTTTCTTCCGGGTAAGTTGGTCAACTTCCTCCCTGGGAGAACAACGGCTGCCCTGCCCAAGAGAGCAGTGCCCCTCCCTGAGGTCTGGGGGCCCCTTCCTGCTGAGACCGCTCTCCTTGGCCGGCAGTTCAAGCAGATGCAGCTGGGAGATAAGATGGACCTGGCCTCCTACCTCCTGAAGCCCATCCAGCGCATGAGCAAGTATGCCTTGCTCCTCAAAGATCTCATCGGGACGTGTGGGGAGGCCCAAGAGCAGGAGCTGGCATACCTGCGAGCGGCAGAGCAGATGGTGCGCTTCCAGTTGCGGCATGGAAATGACCTCCTGGCCATGGATGCCATCCGCCACTGTGATGTATGTATTGACCAAGCAGATGTTTGCGCAGGACTGTTGCATGAGCCAGCTGTTGCCAGGTTTCTGCCTCCACGGGGCCAGGGGCCAGGAGTTCCCCTCTCAAGTGGGCAGCCCCATGAAGGCCATCATCCCTCGCCAATATGTGGAATTGGTGGAATTAGGACCTCTGGGAAGGGGAAGGAGGGAGGCCAGGCTTCATCTGGCTCATCTTCCGTGGCACCTTTGGGATCTGGCCTATGGGGCACCGGCCTTCTTCTGTGGGTCCCTGAGAATAACTGACTGGCTCCTCTGCCTAGGTGAACCTCAAGGAGCAGGGACAGCTGATGCGCCAGGACGAGTTTAGCATTTCTCTGGGCCGAAGGAAATACCAGCGCCATGTCTTCCTCTTTGAAGACCTGATCCTCTTCAGCAAGCCTAAGCGAGGGGAGAGCGCCCTGGATGTCTACATCTACAAACGTTCCTTCAAGGCAAGGACTTCTCCTGCCCCAGGGGGTGTAGGGTGGGCTGCACAAGAGGCAGGCAAGAGAAGGCGCTCTTGTCTCCAGTGGGCTTGGGTCACCAATTAAGATGCACTCCCTTGCCACTTGATGTCCGGGATGTCCCAGGGCCAGCTTTTCTGTGGTTTTCCAGAGGGATCTTCACATTGTGTGACCCTTTGAGGGAAATACGTTTTACCTTGTCAAGTGGGCTGGCGCTGACTTTCTCAGAGCCCTTTGCCTTGCTCACAGTTGCTCAGTGCACAGCCTGTCAGGCCTGCTGAGGGGAGCTAGGCAGGGTTTGCCTCACAGACATCATGGCTGCCTTGTCCTGGAGCCCCAACTCCGTTCCTCGTCCCCCGTGGGAGTTGCCCCTGGCCCCACAGGCAGCCTCAATGGCATCCCGTATAATGGACTCTCATCTTCATCCCTGCAGATGGCAGAAATTGGCCTAACGGAGAATTCGGGGGAGAGAGGCCTGTGCTTTGAGATCTGGTTTAGGAGGAGGAAATCCAGGGACACCTACATCCTGCAAGCCAGCAGCCCAGAGACCAAGCAGGCCTGGACAAGCGACATCACCAGGATCCTCTGGGAACAAGCTGCCCGCAACAAAGGCCAGTTCCCCTAAGGAGTGGGGCTCATGAGAGGAGCCTTAGGAAGCAGATGATGAGGGTCCCCTAAATAAGAGCCAGAGCCTGCTAGGGCCTGGTGGGGAGGGGGTGCGAGGCAGCAGGGTGGGTGTCCTGTGCCTTGGCCGGGGGAAGGAGTGTTTCTCATGCCAGTAGAGAGTATCCACCTCCAGGCTCCCCTCTTCTGTTGAAGGCGAAAGTGCTGTCCTTGCCCTATTTCGCCATCCCCAGGATCGCTAGTGAAACCTTTCCGTGACCTGACAAATGCACGAACGACAAAAGCGCGCCGACAAAACCGCGGCGCTAAAACCGCGATGTCAAAAGCGCGCCGACAACAGCGTGCCGACAAAAGCGCGCCGACAGACGCGCGATTTAAGTTAAGGTAAGGTTTAGGTTTAGGGCTAGGTTTAGAGTTAGGGTTAGGGTTAGGGTTACAGCGCGCTTCTGTCGGCGCGCTGTTGTCGGCGCGCTTTTGACATCGCGGTTTTAGCGCCGC